GGGAGGAATCCTTTGGGGTTTTTTTTTACAAATGGGGCATTTAAAAAATAATTTGTGCATGTACAGTTCAACTCACTCTTAGCATCTGTAAGCTGTGTGCGGAAGAATGTACATCCAGTATGCTTTAAAGTGCAAGTATTTTGTGTATATTTGCACATTGTGGCAACTATTCCTGGGGACCCGCCGCGCCTCAGTTCCATTTTAAAAAGACAAGAGCATGCATATTCTGCCAGCCTGAAACCTGCTTTTTTTTGTCCTCACAAATAAAACTGAAGAAAGATCACTGGACTGAAAAAGGAGAAAAATATACCTTTGCTGGCTCGTCTTCATCTTCCTCACACTCCTCTTCCCCTTCCATCTCCTACAAAAAAACAAAACCATTTATTTTTACCACGAACAGAACGCTAGTCATGAACAAAAGTAAAAGCCCATATAAGGGTACAGAAACAAAAAATAATGATAAAAAAAACAACTTTGTTTAGTAACATTGAGTTTAGTTTGTAGTAACATTTAAAGTGAAAATTAAAATGCCCGTGAGTAACGTCTGCTATGGACACTTGGGAAATTAACGCTTAGGTAATGGCCTACCCTAGGTAATGGCCATGTGTGTTGCTGGGCCTCCACAACCAAAAGAAAAGTAAAAAAAAAATTAAATCCAATGAATGAAAGAGGTGGACCAGGGACAGTCAGGCTAGGAGGAGAGAGGGCAACCAGGAAATAAGGAATGCTCAATCTGACTTGCTGCAGCTTCTGATGCTCCCTGTGAGAGGCTCACAATGTGCATGACATCAGAATAAGCAATTACAGCCCAGGAGAGGAGCCGGTACAACTGAGCAAGACTAAGTGGAAGGCCGGAGTTCAGATTTCTCAAAGATGCTGATAGCCATGTCCTCACAGCTCTTGGATGGAGAGATCTTTGCGCTCGGGCTCACACACACCTGCTGAGGCCACTACAAGGAGGTTCCACTCTCACTGCTGGATTTATAATGCAACAGGAGAAGAGAACACACAGACTCCATTAAGTGTGTGAGAATTGCCCGAGCTTGGGCAGGGAGATCTAACCACTGTAGTCCATCAGATATAAAAATCAGTGTGTTAATCTGCTGCGCTGTCTTCACCTTACTGGACAGAATAGAGGTCAGCAATGACAGACCAGCGATCTCTAAGCAAAGGTTTCCTGTATATACACCCGGTCATTTCATGCATTATGTTACGGATAACCGATACCGAATATGGTATATATAAAGGTCTACTTACCTCCTCCTCTCCTTCTTCACCCTCTTCAAACTACAAAAAAGAAAGCATCAGTCATTAAAATGTTACAGAAGTCACTTGCATCTCCCACTAGTGTCTACACCAGCCTCTCTCAACCAGGGTTCCTCCAAAAGGTGCTAGGGGTTCTTTGAAGAGACCAGCGGGAGATTGATCTAATTATACAGACCTCCAATGTAAGGGATTACTTCTCCACCAATCACCAATGTAAGGGGTCACTTCTCCACCAATCACCAATGTAAGGGGTGGGGGGGGGGGGGGGGTCCTTCCACACTGAAAACCGGTGTAAGGGGTCGAGTCTACTCTGACTGCAATGCCATCAAGGGTCACTACTATAGAAGGGTTATGCGTTGTCCTCCAATCAAACTCAATTGCAAAGCATATTCCTGCCTTCTAACTTGTTTTCAGGCTCTTGGGTCTGTACGTTAAGGGGGCCGTGTGTGTGTGTGTGTGGGATTGTCTTTTATAGCCCAATCAGCAGACCGGCGACCACAGAACAGTGGTGTCACTTTCCTGGCCACATGGTAGAGGTGCGTGACTCAAGTCTGGCTGCGCACAACAGCCTGGCGTTTTAACACCTTTTTAATTAAAGTGGGACTGTAGGGAGAACCCTTACACATTCTCTCTGTTCTTCACAGGCACCGCAAGGTCTACCAACCAGGGATGATGCATGCAGGGGCACATTAGCTGCATTAATTTATTCTCTGATGCAGGTGCTGGTGTGTCTATGTCAGAGATTCAGGGACAGATGTAAATGGCTCCATGTTTTCTGTAATGCTCTCTATATAAAAGGAGTCATTTAGAATTGAATCACCACACCGTAATATTCAAGTTTGTGCCAACTATAAAGTTTGCAAGATGACTTTCTACATGGCAGCACTGATGCTTGTTGATTGTTCTCTCAGGCACCGACAGCTGTCACACAGGGGCGGGGAGAGGTTCCTTAACCCCGAAGCTCCAAGTCACGACTCCTAGGTTATGCAGTTCTTCCACATTGGCCCCTATAGTTGATTATTGAAAGGAGTTTGCGCAGCAATCTTTCAGCAGCTGTTTTAAGCAGCAGCTTAAAATTCTACAGTGTGGCACTTAAATTCTAAATGACTCAACCCGACTACAACCCAAAGTGATGGTGGGAGCCCTACAGCGTACAGAAGCCACCAGCCCATATATTCACATTCTCTAAAACAATAATATAACTACATAAAGGATCTTCAGGGTTCCCGCGCCTCTTGTGCTCTGTCCTAAGAAACCAAATACAGGCCCTTGTGCACCATAAAGGTGAAGTACCAAACACCCGTTACCTATAACCCACCATACCATAAGAATGTAAATCACTAATGATCTAAGAACACGAATATTTTACATGAACGTACACTGTCTTCATCCTCAATTGCTTCTCCGGTAAAATAAAGAACGGCTCGGGGGACTATTCTTTCCCGGAAAAAGTGACCAAGCTCAAAATCGGCCGCTAGAGAGTTTTCCATCTCTTCATCCTGCAAAGCAAGAAATGCAATGGCTTAGTAAGGTGTTGGAGACATACTGGATTACCATGGTATTATATTGTTTGGCCCTGTCCCCTTCCATACTGGTGTTCAGATATGATCCTCACAGACTAATAGGGAGTCTCAAGTAAAGAGGGGTGGAGCCAAGGTTATCTTCTACGGGGAAAAAAAAAAAAAAATCACACGGTTATTCATAAAAGAATGAAGAGTTTGGAGAAGGTAGGAGAAGAGAACAATATAGGACAACATAGCTGAACTGGGAAGTGAGCTGAATTGGAGAATGTTTCCTAATCAGCTATGTTGTCCTAGATTGTTCACTTCTCCTGCCTTCCCAAACTCTTCACCCTTTTGTGAATAACCCCATAAATTGAGGTGCACTGACTGGGATATCTGCTCACTGCAATATTCAGCTTTCACAGACTGTGAACTCTCCTTATTTACATTTTACCCACAGTGAGTTTCGATGCTCAAATGTAATCACTGGGTTCATATCCTAATAGCACTGCTGCTGTACAGACTGAAAATCTCCCTAGTTACCCTGTTGGTAACTTCCTTCTCTCCATAGACTGCATTGCAAGAAACCTGTTCATTCGGTGTTTAGCGCTCAAACATGTCACTGCAGGGAACATATTTTTACACAAATGATAATTTGCCTTCTCTACTCAGGCGTAAAGTGGCAAACATAGGAAAGATCTACATTTGTCCCCCTTGAACACAAGTTCAACAGGGACAAACAAGGAACTGGAATTATTTCACCTGCCTAAGATGGCATTTCATTCTGTACAAAATGAAATAGCGGCCGTCTTTCTCCTCTTTCCTTACTTAGTTGTTCTTTGAGCTTAAAGTCCAGGTTAGGAAAACTCTGGCCCTGCAGCTGCGTTGAAACTACAAATCCCATAATGCATCTGGCAATCATGACCGTCAGAGTCTTGCAACGCCTAATGGGATTTGAAGTTCCGCAGCAGCTGGAGGGTCGCGTTTGCCAACCCCCGTTTTAGTTGGCTATAACAGATTATAACATTGTACCAAAATTTACTAAACAGGATCATCAGTGTTTTCTGTATGAGATAGGAGGTGGGCCCATTCCAAATTTAGCTCCAGAACATAGTGGCTGGCCGATAACACCTACAATGGATGCAGTGATGGCGGCCCATTTCAAATTTAGCTACCAAGCACAGTGGCTGGCCAACACCTACAATGGACGCAGTGATGTCATTGCATAGCTAAAGGGGAATAAAGGGATTGGAGGTCCAACAATGCTGCATATTCAGAATAAGTAACGTGGCTTTGTCGGCCCAGCACAGGAAATGAGGCCGCAGCAGCAGCAATGGCAAAATCAACACGTACAAACTTAGATATGTACTCACCATTTCCTCTTCCTCGCTGGCTGCTGCAAAAAAGGAAAAGAAAAATGTATAAAAAAATTATCCAAAGCAAATGAAATAAATGGAAGACAAAAAGGAAGCTGCCAGGATAGAGCTAAGCAATTACTTGGTTGACCCATTTTTTTAAAGGTTAAAGGATGCGGGGCTATTGAGAATGGAGAAAAATTTGTTCTGGGGCAGAAGTTCACAATTACCTGAATAAGGATCAGGGTGACATCCTCAAAGCTTCTACCGTTAAAAACAAGTCACATTTTTGTCCTGACAGGTTCCTTTTACAGTGGACCTGAACTTTAAAAAGTTCAGGTCCACTGCCGTTTAACAGGAAGTTTTAGAATGATCAATTGAACCCAGGCACAAAATGTAAATTTTGCCTTGAATTTCTCCTCAGCCATAGCTGTGCCATCTAAGGCATTGTCTCCACTGACTGCTAGTCCACCAGATTTGGTGATTGCCCTTCAGTGCTGCTTGCTGTTCCCCTTGGAGAATAAGCTGTACCCGGGGATCTCCCTGCTTCTGCCTGATCCACCTGTGCATGTACGATTGACCCACTTCTCTTGCTGCTTCGTTAATATTATTTTGGGGGACAGCTCTGACATGCGGAAGCAAAGTCCTGCTCCCCTTTCAAGATAGCCACCTCCACACAGAGCGAAACAAGGCATGGTACATATGTAGTAATGGGGGAAAAAAACAAAACAAAAATCAGCTGCAGGGAGATGCAATGCAATCACAGGCAAAACTGGTGACTAATCCAAAGTTTTTTTTTGGGCACAGCTTCCACTGTTCATGTCCTCCAACTTACTTTAGTGTCAGGCTCACCAGTTGCATAGATTTGCCTTTTCTTACCCCTGCTGCTCCGTTCCTCCACCATGAGCAAAAAGAGGAAGATCTGCGCAAGCTTGGAGTCAAAACTTGGAGCTTAGGCAGGGCTACGAAATCTCTCCCTGCCATGCGACAGCTCTGGGTGCCTAAAAACAATTGCCAAGCACCAGTGCTGCCACGTAGAAAGAAAGGGAGCATGTAAAATGCTCCCCATACTGGAAGTGCTAAGTAGTTTTCTTTTTTTCCCTGTGGCCAAATGGAGCAGAACGGGAGTGATGGAAAGGTGAACATAAGTGTCTATGCAGGGCAAAGTAATTGTCAGCCCTACCAGCCTTGCTGATTGATGCCCAAAAGTATAAGACCAAAGCAGAACTATCGGTAGACAGAAAGAAAACAAAAAGCAAAAACACATCAGTGCAAAATGTCACCTTTGATGGGGCTGAAGAAGTTAAAGAAGGACTCGTTGGGGACTTGTTTCGTTATAGTCCGTACAGTGCCCCGTCCCTTGTGCTTCTGCTTCTTTTTTATTGTTTTGACAGTAATGTTTTTGCCCTTTTTCCAGTCGATAGTGCACCTGGTTTAAGAGAAAAAACAGAATAAAGATGACATTTCTGTGTACATGATGGGTAGTGCTGCCCAAAGACTTTAAAAGGCAATCAGATATGCCCCGATCTAGCGGTCCTCACGGCAAAATCTGAGAGCTGCAGAGCATTTCAAAACCTTGTGACTGCAGTTCGGTTGAATGCGAGCATATGACATGGTGACAGCATAGGAGCACGATTGAGAAGACAATGATCATTCCAAAACAGGAAGTGCCTGAACTGGGACCTTCATGGTTGGAACAACAGGTATTTTAGTAAAGGCAGTGGATATAAAAAAAAAATTAAACAAAACCAAATATCCTTACCCTTCACAGTCAATGATTTCAGGTCCCTCAAAGGAAAAGGGGTCAGCAGATTCCGGCTCAGATTTCATTTTGTAGGTTTTTGTCAGCGACGTATTAGTGAAAAACTCATTGGGCTCGAAGAGGAACTCTAATGTGAAAGACTGAAATATATAAAGTTGTGGTTAATGGTAATGAAACCTTCAGGGCATCATTTTCAATCCTACTATGAAAAGATATGTATAGAGCATATAAAAGGGAACCAGTGAGAACTGGGCTTCTGCAAGAATATGAGCACTTCATCTTAAATCACAATTGCCAGGGCTTGCCTATAAAAGATCTATTCAAGATTTAGATTACAGCTGCCATGACTGCCAGCAGCCGGAGCCATCACTTGATTAAAATAATCTCCTCATTAAAATTCTTTACGTTTCTTTGTCTGGAATTGCGAAGCCCTGAGGAACAGAGATCCCCCACAAGCTAGAAAAGACTGACTTGTTAAAGTAGAACTAAACCCTCATATCCTTTACAGCCAAGGAAGGTGCCATTTTAAAGTATTAGAGTAAAGCAGCACCTTCCTGGACTGTAAAATAAGGATGTCCAGTTACCAAGTACCATACTCGGTACAAGTACAGATACTTTTCCAGCTCCAGGACTAGACTAGACGAAAAAAAAAGTTAAAAGTTAGGAGGCAGCTGTCATTTGTAAGGAGCACACGGAGCTCCTGGGAGCTGTACATCTCTGTTTGAGTGCGAGTGTGTGAGAGGTGCACCGAAATGGAAATTTTAAAACCGAAACAAAAAAAATTTCAGGCCGAAACAGATACCGAAAATGTTTATTTTTTATAAACTTTAATTTTTTTATTTATTAATTCATTTTTTATTAAATATTTTTATTTTTTCACTTTACTTTTAGGGGCTTTGGGGAAATATTAGGGGTCTAAAACAGACCCCTATTTTCCTTTTAAAATAGAAAAAGAGATTGAGAACACAGAGTCCTCAATCTCTTTTTCTGTGTCCCCTATTATCAATGAACAGGAATCCTCTATGAGTGTTCCTGTTCATTGATAACATGAGGACATTGTTTGTTTACTATAACCACAATTATGAATAAATGGGGGTGATGTAGATCACTCCCATTCATTCATAATTGAGGATACAGTTAACATACCATATTCCCAATTATGTACACACACTCACTGATCACTGAGTGTGTGTACCTTGCTCTTCTGACACGCTGTCACAGGAGGCTGATCAAGCGGTGTAGAGAGGAAAGCCCAGCCTCCCGTGACAGCGCTGTCTCCGCCCCCACACCGCTCTGCCGGACTGTGATAGGCAGCTGAGCGGTGTGGGAGGAGAGACGCCGGCCGCTCACAGCGCTCTCGTCCTGCAGCGCTCGGCCGGCTGTCACTTTCTTTTCTCCCTGCTGGAACACAGAACAGCGCCCAGCGGGGAGGAAAGAAACCAGGGATGCGGCGATGTATCGGCCAAAACATGGCTCTTTTGGCATTATGCCAAAAGTGCAATTTTCGGCGGATAGGTTTCGGCGCCGATATATCGGTGCATCCCTACTATCTATATAATGCACCGATACCATTTTTTGTACTGATACATTTTTTTTTTAGTGTCATGTGACAGTTTTTCCTAAAACAATACAAACTAATGATTTCAGGACAGTGGAGCGCCAGAGGCAGGTAGTTCTCGTGAAAATGGCAAGTAATCGTCACTGGTATCTGAAGTGGTATCCGGACATCCCTACTGTAAAAGGATATGAGAGTGTTGTTCCACTTTAACAAGTCAATGTCTTGCAGGTGCTGCATATGTCAGCATCTATCGCGCCAGTCATTTGAGGGCTCGAGAGTTCTGTTAAGAGCTGAAATAAGCAAACTCGTAACCTTGGCATGCCTTAAAAGCGATTGAAGACAATAAATTGGTGGGTAAAGTTCCTCTTTAACCAGTTGACATCCGCGGTGTTAAACCCCCTTCCCATCCAGGCCATTTTATAGTCCTATTTTTATTCTGATATCTTCTGTTTCTTCAGCTTCAGGGCTTATAGTTCACCTTTACTCTTATAGCTGCTAGCCCGTCAAGGGCTTGACCTCCTCCCCATCACATAACAGAAAAAAAACCCAACTCTGCAGTTTATTATATTTCTCTTAAAGTAGCTCTAAACCAGGGGTGGGCAAACTTCAGCCCTCCAGCTGTGGTGAAACTATAAATCCTATCATACATCTCTGTGGGATTCATGCCTGCGGCTGTGAGAATCTTGCCATTCCTCATGGGATTTCTAGTTGCACAACAGCTGGAGGGCCGGAGTTTTCCCGCCTCTGCTGTAAACCCTAAATAGGACATTTCGTTTGCTATAGTACAGTGTATCAAACATTTGCCTGTTTTTGCATGGGTGCCTGACTTGCCCAAAGAGCTTGCTCCCCAGACCACAATACACTGCTACTCACCATCGGCTGTCCTGGCTCAGAAAATGTCACTTTCACATCCTGCAAATGTTTTAATATTGGCTCATCATGTTCCTATAAGAGAGAGAAGTATATAAAATGACAATCTACAATATATTAAAATTAAACTCCCGACATAAAAAACACATTTCTATCCACTTAGAGGAACTGGACTGCGGAGAATCGTAGCTAAACATATTCTTTTACGTTGAAAATACTCTTTACCCTTGCCCTCCCACCGCCAATGAATACTAGACAAAATAACTTTGTTGGAAGGGCAAGGCCACAGCTTTATTGACGTATTATCATCATATAAAACATAACTCTTTTCTGTTTAATGAACTTGTGCCAGTCACGGAAAAACCGTGAGCACCCAAACATTAGGACCTTATAACCACAATGCAGGAAATCGGTCTTCACCTCAGTTCTAGACAGATGTCCAACCATCAAAGAATTGCAGCAAGGTTAACGTGGTGACCGATAAAGCTGGCAAGGTCAAAAACATGCCAACAAAGCTGTGACAAGTTAGAAAAGAATAATAGGGGAGGGTGGGCAGGGATGTTCGGCTTGCTGGTCAACTCCCAAGAGGCCAGCAAGCCCACTTCCTCCCACTTTTAACCCTTCGCTCGTCTCCGCCTTTGTAAGCGATCCCCCAATTAATAATAGATTACGCCCCTTATACAGGAGGGGGTCTATTTAAGTGAACACGTCTTTACTTGATGATTCCAGCAGTCAAGTCTCCTGACAGGTCACAGGATCTGCCATTACCCATATCTTTAAAATAACAGCAAAGGCACTTTTAGAAATGTTTAATAATGACAATCTACAAACAGATATTTTTAGATAATTGCCGGCTTTGTATTCTTTATTTATCTTTTCCGCCCCAATCTTCTCACAGTGGCCATGTTAACTAAGGGCAGGTTACTATATCTCTCTTTACTCCCTGGAACATGTGACCATGCATATCATCTCAGGGAGGGAAAATGCCTAATGCCTTTCCCTGAGATCCCATGAGAATACAGATGAGATTTCCTACCAATACTCTGCTGATGTAACCTTCCCAGGATGCAATGCTTAGGAACATTACATCATTTGTGCCAAAACTGGACCAGGAAGTAGATGAACTCTATTTGTAAGTAAATGAAAAACAAGGTTTTGTTTAATGAATGTAAAATGATTTTAAGCAGGACTGCATGCTAATGTGATTTTTAGTGAAAGGGGGTAAAAAATGTGCTGAGGGGGGGGGGGGGGCGAGGCGCCCTGAGAAAAAAA